GTGAATGATTATCACTGTCACAAGAGATAGTTGAGACCTAGAACTTGTTAGGCTTCAGGCAGGGACTGGGCATTGTTGTAGACAATATTTGTGGTTATAAACACAACAAATATATAAACATAAATAAAAAGTTAGTGGTAAGTTGGAAAACTCATGATTTGGGATTTAACTCAGTATTGAATTATAAAGGGATTTTATGGAAACTTAATAAGGACAGACTAACAATATTTGCCTGCTGCTTGTATCTTCCTCAAAGGCACCCAAAGCTAGTAATTTTGCATTAAAAAACCCAAACAAGATTAAGAGAATCCTAAATCTCAAGCAGGGCAGTATTTCATATATGTGGGCTTAGTTTTTTCTGAGTCACCTGCAAAATTGATGTGACTTCATTGGAAACATGGCATTGCCTTCTCTCTGCTATTTATTACAGCTGAGAACTCTTACCTCTACTGCATAGCAGATCCTCTCTGAACACCAGAGATACTTAGACTTTGGCTATACAAGGCTAATATTTAAGTAAGGTTATTTACATAAACAGTGCTGTTAAACTAGTTTTAGAAACAACTAATCTAAAGCCAAACCTGGTGTTAACAGTTATTGTTTGTTATTGTTGTTATTATTATTATTATCAAACCCCAAATCTTTTGATGTCTGTTGTTGACTTATGAATGAATTACTTGAACAATGAGATGATTGAATGACTGGAGTATACACAGGAAACTCTGAAAATAACTGCATACAAAGTACTATTAAGGTGCAAGCTAAATTAATTTGAGATAAATAATGTTTTCATAACGTGTTCTTTATTTACTTTGATCTGGCAGCATTTTGATCCACCGTGCTTTTAGTTAAGAAAGACACATCAACTTAGTGTGCCAGATTCAACACAAAAAATTTCAAAGACCAAGGGCAACCTGAAGTTTTTGGGTAGTGATGAGATCATTAAGAGGTACCTTGTGGAGATATTGCAGACCTTGGAGCATTCTGCTGTTTTGATTGTACTAGTGTACAAGTTGGCTCCATGCCTTGAAGGCAGGAATTACAGTTGCATGCAAGATGTTAGCAAACATATTTAATAGCAGCTTTTGGCTCTCCACACAGGCTCCTTTACAGCTTTACATTTTGGCACTGTATGACATTATGAAGCTCCACTGTATGGTAAATGCAGGATTTCCTGACGTTAATGACTGATTAAAGGATTACATGATGCTGAAAGTGTTTCAGTTTTCTAAGAAGGTCACTGAATATTTGCTGCAGAAGAGATGCCCTCAACCCTCCTCAGATTTCTCTTCTGGCTAATCCCCATATTGACTCAGCAGTATGGAAACAAGTTAACAGTTTACCTTATCCAGTTCCTAATGCTCTGTGAAGGTGCTCACTTAATAGTCCTTTCTGTCATGTTGCTGTCTCATTTACCTTCATAACAGATAATCTTCCTAAGTTTATCTATTTACGCGTATTTGTATTCGGTGAAGTAGTCTACAGCTCTCATGATTAATCAGACCTTCCAAAGGCAACTCAGAAAGGACAAGAAGGAACAAGGCTTTTATTCAAGGGTGTGTCGAAGTGTCTGATGTGAAAGTGGAAGAGGAGGGAGCTATGGAAGGGTGTGTTTGGGCAGGGGGAGCCAACCAGCCCTAGAAGCACAGGGAGTGGCTTGGAGTGGGAGTGTATAACAGGCAGGCTGAGATGGTTCACCCTCTGTCTGGATACAGTGCTGCAAAGCTTAGATCAGTGAATCTCGGCACTGACTGAACACCTACCAGTACAGATGCCTCCACAGACCGGCTCCACTGAAAAGGAGACACGACAAGTTTCAGCCTTTCCACAGCTTTTCACTTGGGAAGAGATCAAAATCCACAATGGCCGTGGTCAAGGTCAGGAGCAATGGCTGGTGATTGACAGGAAGGTTTATGATGTCAGCAAGTTTTCCAAGCAGCACCCAGGAGGCAGCCAAGTTATTAGGCACTATGCTGGGCAAGATGCTACGGTAAGACCTAGGAGGATGGTAGAGGAAAGTGGTTCCATTGTCATGGCAGGCTGACATGGTGGGACTCCAGTGGAGAGTGCTCATGGTACTTGGCACTGTGCTTGGTCAGATAATGTAGTGGACATGTCTGTGCCATCTGTAAAAATGCCCTTTTGGATACCTTCAAGGTCAGAGTTATCTGCTATGCAAATTGTAAAGCTCTTTTTAGGTTCATTACACCCTGCTGTAAACAACGCAGTATCCACACAGGTTGTCTTGCCACTAGGCATGGTCAAGCAAGCTGTCTTCCACATGCTCAAAAAGTGTCTTTGTTTTATCAGTGAGAAAGAAAAGAGGATAGGAAGCAGTATACTCAGTGCTCATTTTTATTTTAAAGACTGCTTTTCCAGTGTCACATGGATATGATCAGTGATAAGCAAATGCTAATCAAAGATAGAGCATGGGTAAACAGATAATAGAGATAAGGAGGAGGTAATATCCAAACATAAAGTAATTTTGGGGGGCACTGAAGCAAGAGAAAGAAAGAGGTACTCAAACAAGTGACACTACTCTGTACAGGCAAGTGGAGGACAAGAGAATCTTGAGCAAAAAAGTTATTTCAAAGGAGGTGGAAAAATAAATAAAATACAGGAAAAATGATTGAGAAAACAGCAGAATTACATTTGGCTGCAGAAGATGAGGAAAAATTCTAAAAATAGTCACTATTTGAAAACAGATTTTCCAGAGGTCCCTGCAGAATTCTTTGATTTAGCGGATTTCTCTAAAATAATTTATTGCTTGTTGACAGAAATAATGAATTCTAAGCAGATCTCACAGACTATTTGATAAAAGTAGATACCAAATTTCTGAATAGTCAGAAATAAGCACATTGGAAACATGACCAGGATTAGGGCATAAACTTGTAATGTGGGAGCCCCAGATTTAATTCTTGTCATGACAAGACTTTTTGACTCCAGGGAAGTTGCTTAGCCTGTCTAATTCCTCAGGTTTCAGCTTGTAAAATGGGATAGCACTTCCCAACTCATGGCACAAAATGGGTCAGAACAGTTATTTTTCACATTTCATTCCTTTCACCCTACTTGAAACTGAGGCGGAAGAATACCTAGTGTTCTCAAAAGGAGAAATGGCTTCTGAGTCTTGTTGATTTTCTTCTCTAGCTCACTGAGTGGCATTTACAGCCCTGTTTTAAAGAGAGAGCTCTGTGTGTCCATTATGCAGCACCTGCATAACGATGCGCGATTGCAAACCGTGCTGCACCAAGGGTGAACTGAAGAAGAGACACTAGTCCTGCCCACCATACCGAGCCCACGCAGAGATCCCTCTAGCCCCGTGCCACCTCCTGCAGTTTCTATTACTGGGATTTTACAAAAAGAGTCAAGGAATACAGAGTGCATGGAACGATTTGTCCCCAAGCTACGTCCTCCCAGCTCCTGCAGCCCCCAGTGTAAGGACTTGTATTTAAATTATTATGCTTTATAGACATCAAGGGGTTTTACTGCAGTGAATTTATTTGCCATGAATGACTTTAAAGAATGACCTTTGATCTTACTCCTATTTATTATTACAATATTACAATCTGGTTTTCCTCATTATTACTTTTGTAAATTTATACCTACTTCCTGATAATTTTGTTACTGTGTTATGAAAACAGTGAATAAATTTTCCATCATTTTCTCAATGTTACTTATGAGTTTTTAAAACTCTTTAACTTGTTGCCTCTTTTCCAAAGCAGTCTTCTAGTATGAAAGCTGTTCCAGAACTCTACTGATCTTTTTTTTCCTACATATAGTTGTAGTACATCCCTTTGAAGACAGAAGGACCAGAACTACATGCAGTAGTCAAGATTGTGGGTACACTGTTGTATCATAATGACATTCTTCTGTCTTGCTCTGGATTTTTATTTTTATTATCTTTATCATTATTTTTGCTTTGAAAATGTTACTGTGTTCGTATATTCTGAGAAATACACACTTTTACAGAAAAGCAGGACTGGAAGATATCTCAAAAGATTGTCTGGTGCACGACTTTGCCTAAAGCCAGGATCCAGGATTTTTTTCCAAGTACTCTTGGCTACTCTAGATCTCATAATTGTATATATATGGTGAGAATTATCTTCCTCTACAGCTCATAATTATATGTATATATATATATGCTGTGAGAATTTTCTTTCTCTGTGTGGATTACTTTGTAAATATAGACAATACGTATTGCAGAACATTACACTGATGACAAATGTTGGAGATCAGGTGTGTTTCAGGTGATAGTCCTTAACGTTAATTTCTCATAAGATGATAATCAGGGCCTAAGAGCAGGGAGGAGAAAGAACAAGTTGCAGGCTTGCATTTATGTGATAAAAATCTGTGTTACTGATATTACAGATAGCAAATTCTGTTTAGAAGGATTCTGGCTCCTGTTTCTAAGCTGCAGTATAGACACTTACAGCTTGACTGTTTTAGAACTCCTGGCAAGAGGGAGCTACATAAAAATGTATAAAAAGAAGTATGATGAGGGCACAGAATCATAATGAAAAGATTTCCCTAGTCCTTTGGGCCTGGACATAGTTACTCATTTGTCACTGTGACAAAGGGCCACTAAATATCTGTAGAAAGTTCATCTGTCCAAAAAGTCACCTTGTTCTGACTTCTTCTAGACTAACATACTCATAGATAGACTGTCTCTAAACAAGAGGCTCCAGAGGAATCTCAGACTGCACAAGGGAAGTCCTCTGTCCTCTTACAGGGACTTAATCCTGACCAGACATGTGCAGAATTTGTTTGTGTCATGATCACCCATATTGATTTTCAGAGCCAAAATCAACAAGTACCTGGCTGCTCAGACACTAAGGATTTTGTTATATCTACTCTTTCTGGAAGACAAAAGAGTATGGTCAGCCTCTTTACCTGTCTTCTGGAAAATTCACTGAGGACAATATTGAAGAAGAATTTTGGTTTATCTGGAATTTCATCCTTTATTCCATAGTTTATATTTGATTTTGAAACTAGTATTTCAAATGTTTATTGGAAAAGACCCATTTGTGTCACTAGTGTTACCCAGTTCCCCAAAACATCAGTCTGAAAACTCACAGGGAACTGTGAGATACTCAGTTAGTCCCACTGTGTATGGAGTTTCAGCATATATTTCCTATGGCCCTAGTGTAATTAGGACAGGATTTTAAAAACACCATCCTAAGCATGGCAAAGACACACCTCACTCATTGACGTGTTTTCCTGTTCCTGGGTCTCATCCATAGGGCAGAGCTGCTGGCTGGAGCCTTCTAGAGAAGGACTGTGCTGAAATAAGCAGATGAAAGAGCATGTTTCCCTCTGCAAAGCATTTTTCATCAAATGCTTTCATGTTTATTACCAGCCTCACCCAGGTACTTTTATGAAATCTAGTTTCTTGAAACTTCTCCAGCTTCCTTGGGCCAAGCTCCAGTCGATGGCAAAGAACTATAGGAGAAACCAAAGGGACAAAAACGGACAAAGGAAACTGGATTATGTATTATGTCAAAGACCTGGGAAAAGGAGAGGCTCAGCATCTGGTGTTTAGTCACATACCCATTCTTACCCTCTTCCTTTGTGTGTTTCTCAGGATGCCTTTGTGGCATTTCACAATGATAAGTCTCTGGTGAAAAAATACTTGAAATCTCTGCTGATCGGGGAATTGGCACCAGATCAACCCAGCTTTGAGTCTAATAAAAAAGTGAGTGTCCTAGAATCCAGCTGTGGGAATGGCTTGGGTTTCAGTACAGGAGGAGAAGGAAAATAAGAGCTAGCAGAAATAATTTCTGAAGCAGCATGCCTGACAATGTACTATAGGCTGGGTGGTGGGCAGGCAGCGGGTAATAGTCACACATGGGAACATGCACTGGCCTAGAATCACTAAATCCACACCTGGGTGTGAGGAATGAGCCGCAAATTCTCCTCAGTTTTTCCCACTGTGATGTCTCAGCAACAGAGTCTGAAAGCAACTTGTATCAAAGCAAAACCAAGATCTGTTGATCTTATGCTCATTTTTGCAGAGGCATCCATCTGATAGAATATGTCCTCTGACTTCCCTAGTTACTTTGGGATTCCTGGGTCTGCTATGTTACATTTTCAAAGTAAACAGTGCATTAATACTCACTTTACCCGCAGAAATCACTTTTAGAGGATTTTCGTGAGCTGCGCTGCACTATTGAGAAGATGGGACTTCTGAGGCCAAATTACACCTTTTTCTTCCTGATCTTCCTTCACCTCCTGGTATTGGATGCTGCATCCTGGCTTGTGGTTTGGTACTTTGGGATATCCTTAGTGCCTTTCGCAGTTGGCATGGCGTTCTTCAGTATTGCTCAGGTAAACCACTGGCAGCTGTTCAACACTGCAGACATGTTGGGTTCTTCCAGATGGAGAGGACTAATGGAATGTTCATATCTCAGTCATAGTTTTACTACGTCTTCTTAGGTCCTGTTATCTGGCTGAAGACAACAAGCATGTTCTACATCACAATTTTTGTTGCCTCCAGCAATTCTTGTTTTGCTGACAAGCTGCTCACTAGGGTCGGTGGGGTTGTGGAGCTGGCAGTTTTACAAGATGGGATAAACTGATCTAATCCATGGGAATATAAATGCAATGGAGCTATGGATTTGGAAATTCTTGCACTTTCCAACTGGTTACTTGGAAATTATATATTTATGATGGGAGCAAAAGACTTCCATGCTGTAACATTCAAATTAATTGTAATGATGCTTTGCTGCTTTCCCTTTAGCTGCTACAATAAAATCGGTAGCTGGCATTGAGCAGCTTTAGTGGACAGTAGCCTGAGCATGTAAGACAGATTTCTGCCCAAAGCAGATGGAAGATGCACTCACACCGTGAGGTTGCAAAGACTCCTGAGGCAAAATAATGCAACACTGCTGTGATTCTGTTTTCTCAGTGATCCTTTTGTCTTCCAGATCCAGATGGGCTGGTTCCAACATGATCTGGGGCACTGCTCTGTCTTCAGGAAGCCTAAATGGAATCGACTTCTGCAGATTGTTGTGATAAATGTTCTGAAGGTAATTGCCTAGGGTGGGAATATTCTCTGGGGCTCATTGGGACTAAGCAATGAATAGGAGTGTCCCTGCATTCGGGCAATATTGCCTGTGCGGGAACTAGAGTGCAGCATCAATAATAGGTGGATAAATAGCGATGTGATTGTTCATATTGTTCTAGTTTGAATCCCTGGTCTTCAATTTTTCCTGCAGGGGTTGCCAGCCAGCTGGTGGAATCACCTGCACAACCAGCACCATGCCAAACCCAACTGCTTCCGCAAAGACCCTGACCTCAACATGCACCCTCTCCTGTTCAGCTTGGGAAAGACACTCTCCGTGGAGGTGAGCACGGGGATATCTGGAGAAGCAAAGAGCCATTGGGATAAAAGATTTTAAAGACAGAAAGCTGTAGAGTAAGGTATAATCATAACCCAGATTTTGTCTTTCTGCATAAACTCATGGTAAGTTCCAAAGTGTTCCAAGATTTGAGAGTCTCAAATACTGACTGGTTATTATGCTACCAGCTCCTGAGAAGCAAAGTCTTAAAATCCGTGCTTAAGTTCTCTGTGTTGCTAGAAGGGCCAGGTAAGCACCTTGAAGGCTGAGTCAGTCCACTTATATTGGTGTTAGGTGTTCTAAGTGATCTTGTAGATAGTGAGTCAGATGTTCCTTCTGGGTCCTTTTGGCTGTGGGAGCTGTTTGGCACCTAAATCCTTCAGGACCAGTATAACTGCTATGCACAAAACACAAGCACAGCAAATTATTTCTTAATCGCAAATCCTATGGCTTTCATAAAAATAAAAACCATGAGCAGACCCTCCCTGCATCCTTATGATTTTTGATATCATCAGGATAGGCAAGGTCTCTTTTGCATTTCCTTTCCCTGGCAATTGTGCTAACTCACAGGGTGATGAAATGGCCTCTTTTCTAGATAACCAGCCTCTTAAAATAACATCTCACTCTCCTTTAGCTGGCAATAAGCAAAAAAAATTACAGCTTTCCAAGACGTGAAAACTTCCAGTTCTGCTATCTCAGAAAGACTCCTGTAAAGAGAGTTTATACAAAATACTTTTTCATAAAAAACTATTAGCTGCAACTGGAAAAGATTTTGTCAGTGATCTTCTGAAAGATCTCTCATGCCTATATATTAACATGAGCTTTTAGATTGGGCTGGCTGTGCTAGACTGGATTTGATGAAAATGAAAGTGTAGGAAATGAGTTTTCATGTCTTCCTGCTTTTTAACAGAGTCAGGTACACTGTGGATGGCTAAAACAGATTTCAGCTGTTTCATTTAGATTATTTGCTTTGTTTCAGGTTTGATCCAGTGAAAACATCGTTGAGATGTTCAGGGTTATTTTTTTTTCTCAGTAATAGGGGAGCTCTGGAAATAGTTAGCTTTTCCTCATTATTATTTTGTCCTTTGAAGAATCATAAGCACAAAATTTGCAAATGATGTTAAGAATCCTTTTGGGCAAATAGTGAAAAAATACGGTGTGAAGAAATAAACCTATCTGTGTTTTTTGTAAATATTTCATCAATTTTCTCTTTCATATATTTGAAGGCAAGATATTCAACAAAACAAAAAGGCAGATGTCTTTATAAAGTGTTTACTACCTTGACCTTGCAGAAATGCTTTTACAGTCATTACAGGATAACATGCAAATACTTTGTAATTTCTGGCCACTATCTCCTCTGTTACTTAAAAATTTAGAATATCCGTGTCCTACATCACCTGGTACAGAAATTCAGGTGTAGCTTGAAGAGCAAACACATCCTGCATTCATCCCCCACCAAATTTCCTTAGTTTTCATGATAACTTGTTCCTCCCTGAGCACCAATAGTCTCAGAACTCTATAGTGAATACATGGAATTGGTTAGACTGGACTTCCATTACCATCACTGGAAACTTCTCCTATGAAATTTAAATTATTTGTGAGCATTTTTGTGATTTTTGAGCATTCTTTTATCCTGCCATGAGTTTTGGAACTCTCTTAAAAATGGCTCTGTTCTGACATCAGCGTAACATTGATATCTGGATAGAGAGGCTCAAACGAAATCTGCTTCTCCCCATTGCTTTGGAAATTCAGTACCTGATTTTCAAGAAGAGGGGTTGAATTAGAGAGATTAAGAGGTAGTTCCTGATGTGTTCATTAGTCAGGAATAAAAAATACCTTATGAAGGGTCTCAGGCCTCCAGCTGACCCATTACAATGTCTTTTCATTTTTCAGCTTGGAAAAAAGAAGAAGAAGTTCATGCCTTACAATTATCAGCATAAGTATTTCATCTGTGAGTATCCCCGCTTCCTTGCAGTGCTGTAGGAACTTCACCTAAAAATTGTGACTGCATCTCCTCCCCAAAATAAAGGTTTTAAAAATACTCCCATTGAAGTCACAGCTTCAGGAAGCTTCCTTCACATTAAAGAAGGTTCACATAAGGAGGAATTGCCCCTTATGTCTCTGTTAGGATTATGTAATGTTAGGTACTAGATAGGGGTGATTTGAGTGTGGGGTAGTAAAGGTATGGGAAAGAAATAAAGTGAAGGGTGCTGAAATGAAAACAGGAACAGATCATGTGGACACATGAAAGTTAGTGTAAATGGAAGGCAGCAATTTTTCTTCTACTGGCAAGAAGAATCTTTGGAGGTAACTGTTCCTGTTGGCCTGATATTCTGTAAGATTTATGATGCAGTGAAGTTATAAATGTTTCTGTTCTTCCCTTCAGTATTGGCCCCACTCGCACTTGTACCCTTCTTCCAGCTGTCTACATTCTACTTCGCAATCAGGAGGAAAAAGTGGTTGGTAAGCACTACTTGCATTGTCTAGAAGAATTCAAAGAAATTTTGCCACTCTGTGGCTCTATTAATCTTCACCTCAGGTGACTGTGGGGCTTAAGATAGAAAGGGCTGATTCCAGGCTTGCTGTGGCAGGAATGCAGTCAATAGGTCCAGGGAGAATTTTTTTAGGAGAGGCTTTTTAGGCTCTTAGCAGCTGAATATAAGTTATCAGAAAACTATCAGACCCAGACTAGTCTTTAGGTACTGATGGTAAAGTGAGTTCTATAGGAATATTTCAGGGATACACTCAGCTTGAGGCAGAATGATGGTGTGGAGCTTACTGGTGATAAATAAGAAATCAATAAATAAGGACATTTTATGCTGTAGTTCAAATAAAGAGGAGAGGAGGGAATGGAGGGAGTTCATCAACAAAGCTTATTTTAATAATTTTTGTTGTTTTGTTTTGTTTTGCTTTTACAGGACCTGTTATTGGTTGTGTCTTTCAACGTTCGAGTCTGTCTCATGTATATTCCTTTAATGGGATTTAACAACTTCATGGTGTACTATTGGCTGTCCAGGTAGCACACAGCATACCCAGAGTCCCCATGACTAATATTTGTAAAAAATATCAAGCTTCAATGGAAACATATGAAAACTAGTCATACTCTTTACAGTTTTCTCAGAAATAAATAGTCAGCCAAGAAGAAACTGTTTAACTTCAGGGTGGTGGTGGCGGCTGCTCAGGGACATCTGTGACTACAGATTATGTGGTTCTCAAAAGAAACTCCAGAATTTGGGAGGCAAAGGGATGGAAAAGAAAATCCTGAATTATGTAAAAGTGCTCTTGTACTTAAGATGAGACTCAGGAAAGTATTTTACAGGTAAATTTGGATGGAATTAGAGATATAACAAGAGTTTCTGTGTTTATCTGCCCAGGTACATAGAGAGCACCTGGTTTATTTGGGTGTCACAGATGAATCACATTCCAATGGACATTGGTTATGATAAGAACAAAGACTGGGTATCTACTCAGGTGAGAATATCCTTTTCCCTGGAAGGGTGGGTCTTCAATTCTGAATTATGTGACAAAGACAACTTTATTATTCTCTTAGCTTTAATGCTGTGTTAATGAGGTTTGTCCTTGCCATTCGTTAAGTAGGCATACATTTCTGTAGTAGTCAAAATATTTAAAAGTTTAGTTGGAAAATGGGACATCTAGAGTAAAAAAAATCCCATTTTTTTCACTGAAAATTTCTGACATATTTTTCACAACATTGTTCCCTTCCTATTATGAAAAAGTACTGATTGTATAACAGTCAATCTCCTTTCTATAACAAATGCAGAGAAGCAAAGTGGGACTGGATACCTTTATTTTTTACCCTACAGGTTAAAGGTTTACTACAGATAAGATAAATCTGATAAAATTTAGGTCTGATAAAAATGAATATGTAAATACAACTTTACTCATATCTATATTATCTCCAGCAGTATAATCCCACATAGTGGGTTCTAAGCATTTTTGCTTATATTAAGGAAAAAAGACCCAGCCTGGTATTCGTCTGACCAAATCTGGATGTCTACACCTGAACACCTACCTTCATTGGAAAGAGTCATTTCCAGAGCATGATTCATCTTACTCTAAAAAAGACATCTAAATCAGGTCTGATAAGTGGCACCGTAAAAATTTATATTTTTCTCCATGGATTCCAAAGTGATGAGCTCAGATGCAGAGTTCAAACTAAAGATGTCTAAATTAGGTGAGATGGAGCCCATGTACGCAAATGTTTGTCCTCATACTTTTGCATCTGTCTCCACTTGTACTAGTTTGAGGAGGCCAGAAGAATGCTTTTTGTTTCTTTATTGGGCATATTTTCTTTCCATCCAAGTGAAAGATATGAAAACAACCTCTTAAAAAAAAAAAAAATCACAGCTGGAGTTGTGGGCATGCCAGCGAAGAAACTCTTCTTTCTGAGCAAAGAGCTAGCTAAATTAACCTGTATCCCAACAACCCATTTCAATCTAGACTTTGTTTAATTCTTCAGGGCAGTGGTGGCTATAATCCCTGACTCTAACTTGCCTTTTATGCTAGATGAGGGTGGATAACGATTTCTGGGGTTCAATTATCAGGCTCGCAGAAAAATAAAAGCTAAATCATCTATTTCTTTGGTCTTTTTTTCTCCCAGCTCCATGCAACATGCAATGTGAAACAATCTTTGTTCAATGACTGGTTCACTGGGCATTTGAACTTCCAAATTGAGCACCAGTGAGTATGATTGTGGGGAGAAGAGTGGGAATACTATGGGTCACTTGAAAGTGAGAAAATCCATATAGTTTCACATGAAACCATCTCAGGAGACCCTTTGCTCTTCTGCAAGAGGGCAGGGAAATATTTTGAACAAAAGGAACAGAGGGTGATGCAAGCAAATTCTTACAATAGCTATCTCTCATTCAATTCTGCAGCCTTTTCCCCACAATGCCTCGACACAACTACTGGAAAGCAGCTCCTCTGGTGAAAGCCCTTTGTGATAAGCATGGCATTCAGTATAAAAGCAAGACTTTACTGACAGCCTTCCTAGATATTTTGCAGTAAGTATCAATTAACAAGTTGGTTTTGCACTGTAATAGCATGCAAGTGAGGGACATAGACAACCATTTCAAATCAATATCCATGGAGAGATCAAACCCAGAGTTTATCTAGGTTTTTCTAAAGACACTTCTAATTTTTGAAAATTTTCAATTTCAAAGATTATCTTCTCTTACTTAAATCCTTTCAGATGTCCATGCAGTTTTTAGTCCATTTTTTTCATTTACTTCTTTTTACACCTAAACTACAGTTTGCTTCCCATGAAGTTGAATATTGTCTCCCCATAAGCAATTTTTTACTTTCTGTTCTTGCAGTTCACTGAAGGATTCTGGGGAGCACTGGCTTGAAGCATATCTGCATGGATAGAAACTGGCAACTGTCAAAGGGAACCTCTTCACCAGACAACTGCTGCAAAGAGTCAGCACAGAAAAACAGTGTGTGTGTGTCTTCTGGCATAGAAACTCTGGAGCTGGGAAAAGATAATTTCAATAAGAATGGGTGGGAAAGTGGCTTAAAGATACATTTTTTCTTGTTCCTAACCATGAACCTCTCTTTTTCCTGCTCTCAGTCTCTGAATTTAGAGCCATAATGAAATGGGCCTTTAAACTGGGGAGAAGTAGCTCTTGACTCAGCTTGAACAGATTACTTCATTGGAGGTGCCAGCTCATTGCTTATGGAAAAAGTTTGAAAGGAAATTCTTCATAGAGTCATAGAATCATAGATTGGTTTGGGTTGGAAGGGACATTTAAAGATCATCTTGTCCAAAACCCTGCTGTGGGCAGGGACATCTTCTACTAGACCAGGTTGCTCAAAGCCCTATCCAACCTGACCTTGAACACCTCCTGGGATGAGGCATCCATGACTTGTCTGGGCAACCTGTGCCAGTGTCTCACCACCTTCACAGTAAAAATTTTCTTCCTTATATCTAATCTAAGTCTACTCTCTTTCAGTTTAAAACTGTTGCCCCTTGTCCTATCACTACAAGCTCTGGTAAAAGGTTTCTCTCCATCTTTCTTATACTCCCTCTTTCAGTACTGGAAGGCCACCATAAGATCTCCATCTTAGTGTTTTTGTCTCAGTGGATCGGTGAAAATGGGATAGGACAAAGCAAACTGCAAGACTTCAGGATACATTAGGACAGAGGGGATCTTTAAGGGATATTCTAGAATAGATAAAATAAGTGTGTAAAGAACAAGATGGCCTGGGGTATGTCTGCATCGCTACTGATCATTTGTACACTACTTGCTCTAACTACTTAGGTGTTATAACTAGTACTGTTAATGGATTGCATAAGGAGACAGATAATCACATGCTAAGTTTTACACCTGTAATAACTGGTTTGAATACAATCCAAAGAGTCTGTATAGCATGTATTATTTATATGCATAAATACATGTATACATTTTAATTGAGTGGTGACTGTGCTGTCTGATCAACTTTCTGATGTAGACTGGCTTTGAAAAAGATGGAGGAGACCAGGCACTGAGGAGCAGATCCAGATTGCAAGGGTATTTAGGATACTCCTGCCCTTATTGAGTTCTATATAAATTAATTTTTATCTAAATGCTTACTTCCCAGTGATTCCAAGGACCTGTGGGCATCTACATTGGTTATTAGGCAACTAAGTATGTTTGTGGCTCTGTTTCTATATCTAGAAAAGGAATTAAATCTTACCTAGTTCTGTCACCCCATGCAGGCCTCTTTGGGCCTTGCAAACTTTTCTTCTCTTTCAGCATCCCCAAGAACCAGCTCCTTTCCTGGAACTCTCATGAGTTTTGTACCTGGTACTTAGCTGTTTGGCCTCAAGAAGGACCTGGGCCCTCCATGATTATAGTCAAGGATAGCTTCTGCTAGTGGAAAGTGTAATGACCACCTTTGTAGAGGCACAGTAGCTTTCCAAGAACATGACTGATTTCTGAGAGAGCCAACAAAATGAATAAGATAGGAGTGGGCTTATAGTAGAATATTTTCACTGGAAGTGTTTTAAACTTTATAGGAAAGGTAAACTTTAAATGAGGAGAGATGAGCATTGAATAACAGACAAAAGAAATAGAGGATGTATGAAAGAAAAAGGAGATGTGTGGGTATCAATTAATAGCAGGAAAAGAAGAAGGGGAAAAAAAGCTGAGTATTGATAACATGATTATTAGGAAAAGCTAGAATACAGGAAAAAAGAGAATTAATAAAGGTCCTTGTCATGATTTTTAGATTGAAAGTCAGTTTTAGAAAGAGTGTATGACCTCTGATTAATCTTGCTGATTTTGCAAAAGAATGATGATTCAGTGATGACACTCTCTAATATAATTTATAGCTAATATGATTATAATACATATTATAATCCATTATGAGACAGTTGAGCCATACTGGCAAAACCTGTATTGTACTGTATTCACCTAACTGACCTAAAACCATGAAGGTAGTCTGTAATGGCAAATTAGTAGACAATTTCCCATAAAAGCAAAGACCATATGGAAGAAAAGTGGTTCTTCTCCTCTGCCATTCACATCCAGAACTCCACACCCCAGTTTTCAGTGGAGAAATCACCCAAAGGAGGAAAACATGAAAGATCTTAAAGTGAGATACCACTGTGAAGAACGTGACCCATCTGCAACCCATTGATGAGCAACTTACATGTATTACAAAGCTACGGACAACAACAGCCTTCTTGTAGGTAACAAATAATATCAAGCCCAATGCACAAAGCAGGAGGAGTTTGGACTTTTTATTTTGCCTCTGGTTTTTAAGAACATCTCCATTTATTCTTTATAATTTTTTGTGTGTATGTACAGGTACTGATAACACTGTTCTTATTATTTCCTAATAATAGCTTATAGATGTCACTGGAAAGGATCCTGATTTAAAAAGTTGTTATTAAAAAAATGTTTTGAATGTAATTTGAAAATCCCTTCTAACCAATGCCTAGAACAATTCTGTGTCCCAAATCCAAGGTGGGTTAGAATGGTGATATCTACAGTTATGTGCAACAGTGGTAACATTTTATAAGTATTTAAATGATAGTACTGTCATAAGATAAATGCAGGGATTTCACTGAATGCTCTATTTGGTAATACACAAAGACATTTTAAAATGGATATCTTTGTGAAATATTAAGGATTCCTACTTTTTTTACCAGTGAGACTTGAAAGCTGCATGAAACCTGGTGAAAAGTTGGTAAGCCACTTTGTTTTGCATTTGCACTAATACTGAGACCTCTAATAGCCTGATCTTAATGAGTGGTAATGGGAAATTGCCCCAGCTGTAGCACTGGTATAGGAGAAAGATAAGATGTTCTCAGTGAAAACTCGTTCAACAGAAAACTTGTGACAGGCAGTAAGAGATTGAAACATAGGTTTTGTGCTTAAACAGTCTTCTGGAGACTGTAATCTTATTCATCATGTTTTTAATAATTGTAATCTTCCCTGAAAGACAATATATGCAATCTGGCATACCTGGAAGAAACAAGAAAATTAGAGAGATAATTTGCATAATCCTGCTTGCTTCAGGAGTTTATAATGAGATTCTAATAGAAGTGTTTTTTCTAATACAGGTAGACCAAAAAGCAGAAGAAATGTGCACAGTCACTGACTGTGGTTAGGAATCAAATTCTGCTCATGTAAATATAGTGTGTTCTGCAGAGTAATGCAGAATGTGTTTTATTATGCAGCAGTCCTATGCCCAGATTCTTATGGTAATTCAGTGTTTAATTCTAATTGAAATAATGGGAACTAAACCCCTTGATATTGTCCAGCTTGCACATTCAACTGTATTTGCATTCTCAAAGTTCCTTTGCCTTAATTCAGGGATTTGATGTAATTTTAAATTCATAATTAGCCTGTAAAACAAAAATTTTTATTTCAAGGCATTACCTTTCTGACTGGTCGAAATTTCAAAGAAATCAGAGACTTTTGAGAAAAATCTATAATCAAAAGCCTGACCTCTACAAAAATGAAGTTTTGAAGAAAAATCAAACCAAAGCCAGTCTCCTGGATCCGCCATTTCCATAATTTTATAGATAAGAGTAAACACAAGAATGTGCAAATAAGGTTGAAGATCTAGGTCATATGTCTGGAAGTCTTTTTGGTTTTACGTTATCAGAGAGAAATGCAAAATTCCAAAGGAATTACTTATATTTTTTCTTTTTCTATTCCAAATACCAAGTCACTTCTTTAAGCAACTGTTCTCTTCATCTCTTCTTTTAATTGACTATGCAGAGTCAGTTGGTACAACAAGCTTCTCTCTCAAATTGGTCACTCTGAGTGTCTCTGTAGGTAGTTAAGGCTCGGCGACCGGAAGATGTCGCGCTGTACGGAAAGGTCGGACCCCTCTCCGGACAGCCAATAGCGTTGAGCTCATGACGTAAGCAGACGGAAGTGACGTTGTAAACCCAAGCTATATAATGCTGTGCCACTCACCAGTAAATGCCATTTGCCATCCACCACATTGGTGTCTGTGAGCTGATGGCCCGAGCGGCCGGGGCTTGGTTGCCGTGCCGTTCCTGAACCAGGTCACCACGCCATCAGAAGGCAACAGTCTCCCTCCCTCCATCATCAAACACTTCACATACTTCATAGAAACATAGAATCACAGAATCCCAGGTTGGGAGGGACCTCAAGGATTATCTGGTCCAACCTTTCTGGCAAAAGCACAGTCTAGACAAGATGGCCCAGCCCCCTGTCCAGCACTTCCCCGGGGAGATTATTCCATGGGCTGGTTGTTCTCATTGTGAAAAATTTTCCTCTTGTGTCCAATCAGAATCTCCCCAGGTGTAACTTGTACCTGTTACCCCTTGTCTTTTCCATGTGACTCCTTGTAAAAAGGGGAGTCTATCTTCTTTGTAGTCATGCTTTAAATACCGGAACAAGGTGATAAGTTCTCCCCTAAGCCTTCTCAAGGCTGAACAAACCCATTTCTTTGAGCATTTCCTCAAGCAGGCTTCCCAGTCCCCTGGTCATCTTTGTGGCCCTTCTGTGGACCCTCAGCAGCCTGTCCACATCTTTTTTGCATAGTGGGGACCAAAACTGAACACGGTACCACAGGTGTGGCCTGACAGGTGCTGAGCAGAGTGAGATAATGACTCCTCTATCTCTGCTGGTGATGCCCTTGATACAGCCCAGCATCCTGTTGGCTTTCTTTGCTGCAGCAGCACCCTGTTCACTCATGTTGAGCTTGTTGTCCACCAGGACCCCCAGGTCCCTTTAGACAGAGCTGCTCCCCAGCTGGGTAGATCCCAGTCTGTGCTGCACTCCTGGATTGTGTTTTCCCAGGTGCACTTGCCATTGCTGAACTTCATAAGCTTCTTGTTAGCCCACTTTTCCAGCCTGTACAGGTCTTCCCTCAGAGTGTCTCTCCCTTTTGAAAAGTCCATTTCCCCACTTGGATTGGTATTGCTGGCAAATTTCATCAGGGTACACTTGATCCCATCATCCACATCACTTATGAAGATATTAAACAGCATTGGGCCCAATACTGATTCTTGGGGGACCCCATGTGTGACAGGTTGCCAGTTTGAAAAAGAGCTATTTCCAACCACCCTCTGGGTGCAGCCTGGCAGCCAGTTCCCCACCCACCCCACAGGCAGCTTGTCTAGACCTACCAGTTTCTCTAGGAGGAGGCTGTAGGGAATCATATCAAAAGTCTCAGAGAAATCCAGGTAAACGATGTCCACCACTCACCCTACATGAACTAAGCAGGTTACTTTGTCATAGAAGGCAATTACGTTTGTCAAGCATGATTTGCCCTTGGTTAATCCATGCTGGATTTTCTCAAACATGTGCTTCAATTGACTTGTGATAGCTCCCAGAAAGATTTGTTCCATAACTTTCCCAACAACTGAAGTAAGACTGATGGACCTATAATTTCCTGGCTCTTCTTGTAGATGGGGGTGACATTAGCCTTCTTCCAGTCTTCTGGGATGTTCCCCAATCTCTGTGACTTCTCAAAG